TAGTTCAAAAAGAATTTATGATGTGCCAATGGTTCCTACAAATAAAGAGTACTGCTGGTTGCATCGAATGCAGAAGAAAACAGAATCGGAAGATAAGGAGTCACAATCAGTGCAATCGCGACAAAATAGCTACAGACCGATACGAAATAGTGCAGAAGAATCATTCTGTCAAACCAAAAAATCGCAAAATTTAAGAGAACGAACGACCAAAATATAATTATTGGATGACAGATCTAATCTCACAAAGTCTTAATATCTTAACCGGGATTTGAACTCTTGGGACTGTCCTACGAATAGCACCTTGTTGCCCTGTTGCAAGAGCTGTAATGCAACATGCACGATTGCTAGCATTGTGATAAGGAAAAACCTCTAGAACATGTGTTTTAATCAATAGACTTCTATAAAACATATTCTGTGATTTGTTTTTCTGTGGAGAGCAATGGCGACAAGATTCATACGGCCCGAAAACTAAACTTTTTCCAGTCTGTATGAATTAGTCAGCTGTAATCGGACAGTTGGTGCTGATTAAAACAATTTTTACGGCAAAGTTACTGCGAATTTTGATTGGAGAAAAAATTTAGAGAGTTGGGGGGATGAAGAGCAAATTATTGACTATAAACGGAACGAGAGAAATAATTCTGAAAAAGGCAGATGCTATTTGTATTTTGAAGTAACATTGTGGTAGAAAATACGAAAGTATTGTCGCACTTCCCCATTTCGCGGCTAAGCACTACCGGTATGTGGTGCGGCTTCCTTATAAGTAGTTCTCAAGGAAGCCGCCAAAAGTTAAGACTATCTATTGCCGACTAACCTCTTTTTCCATTTATCTCCACTGTATGCTTATGTGGGAAGGAACTTTATGCCGTTGCTTACACAAAGAATTCGAAATCCTTTGATAATGAAGATTGAACGCTTTCTAGGATGACCAACTACTTGTGAAGAATGTGTACGATTTGTACTAAAAAATTGCTTTTAAATATGAGGTAATGCAATTTCAAAAAGCGATTTCATCTGCTGTAAGTACCTGCCACAATGCCTTAAAAAATATCATAAATGTTTATATGCTAAGAATATTGTTTACTTCGTGTATGTATACGAATAAGAAGTGCACGTTATAATTCATTTAGCGGCAATTTAATTTTGCAGTTTGCAGCTAAGAGTCTGATCAAGACTTCTTCCACTACTACATCTTTTTAATATGAAACAATCAATATCACGAACCAAAATTGCACAAGAAGCATATATCTTGTTCACAATCGTCACTTCGATAGGCGATATCCATTCTTCATCGTAAATTCGGTAATCCGAATCATGAAAGTCACTGAACCAAAAAAAAAAACCTTGAGGATCTTAACAACTGGCACGTACATAACATTTACTCTGCTTCCTTTAAGATGTCCAGTTTTACTGTGATGAGTACAAAAGTTGAACTATAAGCCTAAATTAGTTAAGCTATTTTCTTGTAGATACGCACCATGAAAGCTTTGTTAGGCACAACCCAAGCCTGAGGCCAATCCGCAGCGCGACAGGACCAGTTTTCGTTGCATGGACCTACACTCAGCAGGGCCTAGATAGATATGATGTACACAACAAGAGAATAATGTGCTTTGATGCAGCGTACTGCTCTGATGCGACTTATCTACAGCTAATGAACCAAACAATGTTTTCCAGTTACGAATATTTTCGCAAAGCGCGTAAATCGAAAATTTT